TTATAGAGACAAACCCCTATAGGACAAACCCCTATAGTTAATTACATCTCAAATGACTAAGGTCACTTCAGAAAACTCTTGATAATGATCAGAGATATTAGTCTTCAAGATTTTTAAGTTTAGGTTTTCATGGTAATAAGTGGGAGTGACTCAAATATGAACAATTATTTTCAGGACTCGAAAGGAAAGAAAAGGTAGGAGATGTCACAGATCCTGAGGAGAAATCTCAGTGACTTCATAAACTATCCTAATGTGGCTTAGTTTTAGATGATGTTATTTAGGTGTTTGATCCTATCAATTTTCTTATTTGGGACTTACATTTGCATAATATTCAATTATACAAATAGCCCATAGAAATATGAGGGTTTACATCGTACCGGATGACAACCTCGGAACCTAAGGCGAGTTAGGACTTACGCTGCACAACATGATTGTACAGGAGCCTAAAGAGGGTGTAAGGATTTACGTCGCGTTGGATGTGCTAACTCGAAGTCCTATGTGTTGTTATTTAGACTAAGGACAGAGAGATTGTTGAAGAAGATCCTGATGTTGCTCGGTCCAAGTTCTTTGCCGTGCTGTCCACAAAGCTGACTCTAAGCTCCTATCGTAACGTTGCCTCCATAGTTTAAGAGTTTGAGATTGGTGATTTATGTTTCACAGTTTTAGTGTCAAAGTCTGATTTTATTTTGTTCTAGTTTTGGTTTCTGTTTCAGTTTTGGTTTTGCATGCAGAATAAGCAAATTGCAAGACACTTGAAAAATAATATGCAGTAAAGTAAAATGTTATAAATAAACTGTAAAAGCATACCTGGGCATCTGCTACTTCTGCGTGATTAACATTGCAAGCATAGTATGATTTGCAGCAGATTTAAATAAACTTGCAAGAAAAATAAACAAAGCGAGAAAACCCAACACGAAAGTCAGAAAAACGAGTCGTAGAAATCATAAGAAAAAGAAACCCGTAGCCACATATGAAAGACGAGGACTGGATGTAAGATATTAGTAAAAGTGGGGGCTCAGAGCTGGACTATGTGCTTCGCGATCTTGAACAAAAGCTACTAGCCCGACAATCTACGGAGGGCAGTCCTTAACTTTAGGTGCTAGATAAGTAAATTCATGAGAGTTATGTGCTATGTAGGATTTTAATCCCACAAACTTGTGTAAGCAGTTAAGTGGCATACAAGTGAGATCTCCTGAATTTTCACACCCATACATCAATTTTTACATTTATGCCACGCAAATCTTTCATGTGTATGTGCGGTCGAAATCTTTCATATCACAACAAAAATGCTACCAATTGAACTTCTAAAAAGTAAAATATACACCTTCATGCATAGATAGAGTGGCGTGAATGTAAAAATTAAAGTTCAGAGTGTAAAAGCACAGGAATTGAGTCATACGACTATAAATATAAAATCTTAGGTGTTGATTGTGTAAATACAGAACGAATAATTGAAGAAGAAACACTGCATGGATTGCGTGTAAACAATCTTGATCCTGCTAAAAAGTAAAACTAGTAGCTTCAAATTCAACCAATTTCGCTTCTTCTATGTCTTGCCTTAACTCAAGATTAACGTAAATACCCTCATTAAAAGATAGAGTTATGGGAATTAAGATTCTGAAACACGAAAAGGAATTTGAGAGAAGAGGATTACTTTTCTTGATGGTTTCAGGTAGGAGCAGCCAAAGAGATTTAAGTTGCCTTTGTAAGCTGCAAGCCATTTGTTGTCTCTTTTCTGACAGTTGGAGGTTCGGCGAGGGGAGTTTGGAGTAGATTTTTTTTTGTTTAGGTTAAGTGAACAGAGAATGGGTGTTTTCTTGCAAGCCGAGAGAAGCCATGGGTAGGGGTGTAAACGAACCGAACACGAACAAATAGA